ACAGTTAAAAAAAAAAATATGATATTGTAAAGAAGGCAGTGGGAAGAGCATCCTTGCCTGCCATGATCCCTGGGCTGACAGGTTCTCAGGATGCCAAAGCCTCCGTGCTGATCAGCAGCCCACCTTGTCTAGACACAGCAACCCTGGTAGAACAGAATTCCTTCCACTCCCAGCCTGTTCCCTACCACATGTAAGACACCACCTACAGACACTGCTGTTCTGAGCTGCCTTGCACAACTAAACTGACTGTTTTCAGCTCAAAGCAACTGGACCTGGGCCCGTGCAGTAGAGATGTGAAGAGAAAATGCCACCATGTTGTAGCTTGGGTGCCAGGCCACCAGGAAGAAGTAGCATCTACGTATGACTTGACTGAGCTGAGATAATGCAATAAATAAAACAGATTTAGTGCCAGCAGCAGCAAAGAAGCCACCTGAGCAGCACAGAAACCCGGAGACTGAGGCTCCTCTTGAACAGGGCTCTGTGCCTGGGCAGAGGAAAGGGAAGTTGGGTCCTTCCCTGCCCTGTTCAGGGCTGGCAGGGGCAGGCATCTCAGCTTGTAGGCTCCACGTGGTGCCATCTCTTTGATTTTTTCCACTGACTGGCTCTTCAAACCTGCCATATGATCCTTGATCAGCCTGAGGATGTACCCTGGGCCCTGGGGAGCTGCCAGCTGGCCAGCAGGCCAGCCAGGGCTCAGGGAAAATTATAGCTGGGTGAGCTGGCTTAGACTTTAAAAATCGTCAAGATTGGCAGGTCCCCCCTCAGAGCACAGCACAGCCCCCTGGAAGTGATTCACTTTTTGATAAGGTCGTTGTGTTAACACACAGCCACGTTCCCTGCCCCACGTGCCACGGAGCCCTGCAGAGAGCTGCAATTTCGGTGCTTCCCTCACAGGTTGGAAACGGAAACGCCGGGAGCAGGAGGGGGACAGGAAGTTTTTTACCAACACTCAGAGATGCTGGAGGGAGCAAGGAGTGTCAGCCCCAGATTTGTAAACTTCTGATCTCAGTCGGGTTTTGACACAAAGATCAGCTTTCCCAAGCACTGAGTCTGGTTTCTACAAACAAACAACATCCTGTTCACAACTATAAAACACCTTTTTCTGCAAAACATAAAGACCTGGAAAGACAAAGTTTTTAGCCAGTCTTGTCAAGACTCAAACTTATGGTGGGGGGAGCAGTTAAGTATTTCAACCCAAATGTGAGAGCACAAAGTAATGTTTCTCACCCTGGCCAGCTCTTTACCGCTGCAGAACGATTCAGACCAGCCCTGCCCACCCAACCCGGACCCTGCGTTTCAGCTGAGAACGACCCCGCTCAGAGGGGCCGGCAGAGCTGCCGGGGGGGTTTCCAGCGGCTGCCGAACCCCCCGCAAAACACAGCGAGGGCAAAACCTGCTGTTCTGAAAACAAACCCGAACTGCAGGGTTTGCAACACCTGCTCCTCGCGCCCAAAAAAAGGGGGTTCCGATAACCACACGATCCTGAGCCACATCCCGGGAGCGCTGCCGGGGCCCCCGCGGGCAGCGCCGTGTCGCGATGGGCGGCCCCGGGCGGTCGCGACAGGCTGACCCGGACTGTCCCAATAGGCTGACCCGGGCTGTCGCGATAGGCTGACCCGGGCTGTCGCGATAGGCTGACCCGGGCTGTCGCGATGCTCCGGCCCCGCGGGGCCGGTCGCGGGGGCTGGGTCCCCC